TGGCCTGTCCTCCCATTCCACACTCAAGTTGGAGGACTCCACCAAACCTTGGAGTTAGCCTAGATCTTCTTCCTGTAGGCCCTCTCTTCTACCTTTCTCTGAACCTAGGCCATTTCCCATTTCTTCTTGTCAAATCCTAGAACCCACGAATGCTTTCAACTAGACTCCCAGTAGTCACACCTGTTAGGGATTCAGGAAGTAGAACTACACGATCCGTCCTGCCCTCCATTATGATCTTTGCATTCTCATGCACAACCAGTAACAATGTGCTTGCAGGTCCCCTTAGTCTCGCCTCAATTTACGGGAGAAAGAGGAATGGAAGTCAGGTAAGAGTGGGACAAGGAGGGACAGATAAATCTAAAAGATACTTGATGGGTTGTATTGAAGCCTGAAACAATAGAAGCTTCCCCAAATACATACATATGAGATAGAAATCTAAAAGGAATCGCCAAAAAAGGAGGTGAGATAAAGCACCAACTAGTCCTCTCTTGTCATCAAGTGAAGCCTCCAGTGCCAGGAATGTGTTACACCAATTGTGTTGTTGGCTGTAGGAAACCCATGGAAAGTCCAAAACAAGTCTATTGCCAAGGGTATTAGTTGATCCCCACAAACTGATAGTACGGCCCTAATGTTGAACACACCAAGAAAACATGGCCTTTTAGGCAACAGGGCTGATAGATGTACATACTCACAGAGGGTATGGCAGCATGTATGTGCAAGTCTAAACATATTGGGGGCCCACACTGAGGGGGAAGTTGACACAAACCCCCATCATAGCATGGAAGCTATCTCCAAGTGACAGCCTGTCATAATAGAAAGACTAATTTTCTCCAACCGAGACTCTCTCAATTTACAAACTACACTTAAGGATAGACCTATGACCAGCAGTAGATGGCCAAGACAAAACAAACTCAATGGTATTTTGAAGGGTTTTTGTCACATGTTTCTCTTGCTATTTCTTAACTTTAAAGATCTTGGCTTATACTTTATATTTTCTAATTTTATTGTTTTATGAATTTTCTGTGTGTGCGAATATGTGTGTTTCTGAGTTTGTCTGTGTGTGTTTCTTGTGCATCTTTCTTTTCTAATGAGAGAGAGAAAAAAATATGGATTTGGGTTGAATTGGGAGGTGAGAAAAATCTGAAAGGATGGAAACTATGGCAGAATATACTATAAGAAGAAAATCTGTTTTCAGTTATAAGGGGGAACTAAATAATAGTTTATGAGACCAATGATAAGTTTTGTAAATGGTGAGTATTTAAAAAAATAATAAGTGTTACTTGAAAATTTCAGGGTCTGGGTGAAGCCATCATGTCATATACGGAAAGTTGGGATCCCTTCTTGCATTACAAGTCTTATTAATACCTTAACTTAAGAACTGACTCACCAGGAAGTACATGGACAACTTATTAGGACTGAAAAAAAAAAACTAGAGTTCAGCAAGCTGTGAATCTTGCAGCTGCCCAGAAGAAAAGAATTGAAAAGGGAAGGTGAGATGGAGCCATTCTGTTTGAAATAAAACAACCAGACAACTATGAAGGTCAGCCACATGACTCTAGAGAAGCTTTAAAAAAAAACAGTTGCAAAGGCTAAAGTGTTACAAATTCAACAACAACAGCCAGATCAAGTAAACTGCAAAGCTGCAACTGCCTTGGAGTCAAATAAAGCAGAAAGAGAGGTCACAAACAACAACAACAAAATTCATGAGCGAAGATAAGACTGAGGGAAGGTCTGTGCTGTGGCAGCAGGCAGCCACATGGTGGGCAGCAGAGACAGAGACAGACAGAGAGAGAGAGAGAGAGAGAGAGAGAGAGAGAGAGAGAGAGACTGAGGCTGAGACTGAGACTGAGACTAAGGAAGCCTGAAAGAGTCAGGGAGTTTAAGAATCTTCATGCTCTGTCCAGCACCTGAAAGAAGAAGACAAAAGGAAAGCAAAAGGAATAGTTCTGTCTCTCAGAGTCAGGACTCAGAAAGGCAGCAGACCTAGTCACGCCTCATGGCAGCTCCTGTGGAGTGTGCTAGAGGGACAAAGTCCAAGAACAACAAGTATATTATCTTAAGGTGAACCCACCTTTCTAAGAGTGACCCCACCCCCACCATCCGAATCCAGACTGGTCTTGACCTGCTGAAGTAGATTAACATTCAAGAGAGGCCACAAGGGCATGTCTCTATCTAAAGGTAGATTTCACTTTCACTATTGTAGTAGGCTTTGTTTGAACTGTGGATTTGAAACCAACTCTCAGTCCTTTCCTTGGGTGGTGGCGGTACATTCTGGGCACAGAGAGCTGGAGGGAAGAGGGCAGGCCGATTTCTGATTCATCTCCTTCTTACATTGATGAAGGTTGACTCTGAACACTTCATCTCCTGTCTTCTCTCTCATTAATGCAACCATGTCATGAAAAGCCAGTGTCCAAATGGTTTCCTCTAAGTAGAATGGCCAGAGGCTGTTCAATAAATGGAGGAGACTATGGCTCGAACATGAAAATTTCCCCATAGGCTTATGCACTGGGATCTTGTTACCAGAAGAAGGGCTTTTATCCCTCTTTGTCTCAACATACAATGACATGGTATTGGGGGTTGAAGTCCTAGCTTCGATCACAACTACAGGAGGAGTTGAGTATTTGGGAGCAAGGGCTAGAGCTCATGCAGCACCAATGCAGCCTTGCCCACACTGTGCTGGCCATGCCTCATGTTGATTTGTAGGGTATGGAGGACCCTGTTGAGGCAAGCTCAGCACTGTTCCCTAGGGTTGCTTTGGGAGCTGCTCGGGATCATGACCAACAAATTGCAATTGAGCACATAAATGATTGGACACAGGCTGGAATTGTGTGTAGTGGGGCATAGAGTTCAATATATTCATGTCCCTAATTGTTGGTAATGTGGAGAATGTGGAGTAGGTAGAAACAGCGAAGGCTGGGGAAAATGATGGACTATTACACCAGTCATATTACTATAAGCAGTGCAGTGAGATCTGATTGTGCCCATGAATCCAAAATGACAACAGAGGAGGCATGAATTCTATTGCTGAGGCAAGAGGAGCTTATGTCAACATCTAGTCCCAACCTGGAAAGGTGCCCTGGCCAAAATCCTGATGTCCACTCGAGGACAGTAGTTTGCTATGGTTAAAGAAGAACCAACTAGCCACATTGCAACATGAAATGGTTTGAGTCCCTAAAAGGTCACATGACCTTTATGGGGAAAGGACAGTCTCCTAGACACAGATCAGCACCAGTGCAGCACAATTTGCTAAGGGCGGGATGACTTCAGGACTGGGAAGAGATGTTATTGCGCTTAGGTGAAGTTTGTTCTTGTTCACTGGGTGAAGAGCAGAATTGTGACAGCTGCACCAGCCTGAGGACATTGTCCACTTAGAGCGGATAAAACTGACTGTGACCAGTCACAGTCTGTGTCAGAGGACAGACAGTAGAGCTGGGAACGTGTCTGCCCTTGGCCTCTTCAGTGCTTCTACCTAGAAGGAAGGACTCTTTGAGATGGAAGAAATTGTGGTTTGGGAAGAAAATTGGCTCAAGGCACAAACATCTCATCTGCCTGAGTTCTCCCTTTGGCCTCTGCTGTCACTGGTGACGTTGGCAGACAGTAAGTCCCTGGGTAGCAGGGCACAGAACCAGCCCTTGGGTCACAGGTCCTACCAAGTGTGTGCTGTATTGTCTGAGGAGAAGCTTGGTCATCTCCCCAGCTAGTCCAGCTCAAGAAGCCCATGTGGTTCTGCCTAATTGGTCCCTCAGGGAGTGATTTCTCCCTGTGAGCACTTGTCTGTTCTGTTATAGAAAAAGGAGGACTCCCGGTCCTCACACAGACATCCTAATGTCCTCTCTTTCCTTAGAGATGTCACCATATACTCTTTAAAAGTTTTAAATTTAATCTGATTCTATTTACTAATGAATCTTGATAGTTAACTTCTTTTGTGTGTGCATTTGCGGGTATGTCCGTGAGTTTGTATGCATCTATGTGTGTGTGCCTGTCTGTCTGCTGCTAAGAAGCAAGTTTCTGAAGAGAACGCCTGGGAAGATTCGTGCTAAAGGCTTACCACGTGAGTTTTATATTAATTGGATGTGTGTTCAAATATTAATTGCAATGTTTTGTAATACGGGTGGGTTATTGGGTTTTACTGTGTGATCCAGGAGTATGAGATCACACTTAAGTTCTCATTTTCAAGAAAGTTCTGTAAGCATCTGAAAAAAAATGGGCTTGGGCAAATCATAGCATAATTTCATCTCAGAGACTGCCTGTTTCTCCCTCATCTCTGTCTCTCTTTTCTGTCCTTTCTTTTCTTGTCTTGGTACCATTATGTCTTTCCCCATCTCTGTGTCTTTCTTTGCTTTTATGTCTCAATCTCTTCCGTGTGTGTGTGTGTGTGTGTGTGTGTGTGTGTGTATTTCTCTCTCTCCTCTTTGCCTCAGTGTCTTTATGCACTTGTGCTTATATTGCCGTCTTCCTATTTCTATCCTTTCTATCTCCACCTTTTCTTCTTTCTTTCCTGTACCTTTCTCAGAACTCCAGTTGAACTACATGACATCTCCTGAGCTAGGGTGCACACTGCACCAGTGATGTGGTCTGCTACCTTCTGGTCACCACTGCAGGGTCACAGCCTTGTGATACTAATTTAGCTCTCAGACATTGTCCAAGACACTGAACTAAGTTGAGGTCTCAGTTCAAATCACTAAAATGTTTGTTATAACTCTGAATGTATAAAGGTGCATGAAAATGACAATGTCCTTTAAAAAATGAATATAATCTAGTTGATTATTCCCAAACATAAACTTTGAACTCAGTACACCTGCGATAGTTTATGAGCAGCTGTATAGTCTGCTCTAACCTCATCACTTGGAAGTTGGCCCTTATGCATTCAGGTGCACTCTGTTGACGGCTTCTCTAAATTCAGGTGCAGTTTTAACTCTGAAGTTGCATGGGTATAGAGGTGAGATAGGGCTCAGTCATTCTTGGTGCCTCGTTTAAGTGCCCTAATTTAAAGCCTTGATTCCCAATGACACACAGATGGATGATTGCAATTTGTATAGGTGAGTGCACTGGTCACCCTTGAAGACCTTGGCTGATGCTGTTTTGTATGTCCAGGTGAGGGACACTTGCCATTTTCCTCATTCCTTCCCATTCTCACCCACTCTCAAAGTCCTTGAATAGAAGGCACCCACAGATATCCGTGTGGCCAGGACACAGAGATTTCCACCACTGGAAAGTCCCTGGCCATGACCCATGGTCTCTGAAGTCTGGGGAAAGAACCCTCCCAATGGAGAAATACCCTGGGTCCCCAAGGTTCATGAGTGGCCACAGAAGTCCCACATCTAGAACCATACATACTACAATGGGTGACATATTGCTCTGTTCTTACCCGAGGCAGTCTGAGATTTAGGTGGATTTCAACACACCTGGGGTGGATGGTTAGCACAGACTGGGACTAGAGCAGCCACAGAAAACTCACTGCTCCTGGATCCTGAGGCCTCTCCAGCTTTATGATGAATGGGACACTAGTCACCGAGTTCCTCATCGTGGGATTCTCAGAGATGCCTCATCTTCAGGTACCACTTTTTCTCAGCTTCCTTTGTCTCTACATGGCTGCAGTCTCAGGAAACCTGCTCATTATGGTGACAATCAGTGCCAGCCCATCCCTACACACCCCCATGTACTTCTTCCTGGTCAACCTGGCCGTGGTGGACATCCTGTGCACGTCTACCATCCTACCCAAGCTACTGGACAGCATGGTTGGGCAGAGGACCATCTCTTATGGGGGCTGCATGGCCCAGCTCTTCTTCTTCACATGGTCACTGGGGGCAGAGCTTCTGCTCTTCTCAGCTATGGCCTATGACCGCTTTGTGGCCATCTGCTGCCCCCTGCACTATAGTGCCTGGATGGGCCCTAGGGTGTGTGCGTTCCTGGCTGGCCTTGTCTGGGCCATCAGCCTGACTAACACCAGTGTGAACTCAAGCCTGGTGCTGCGTCTACCCTTCTGCAGCTCCAACGTGATAGAGCACTTCTTCTGTGAGATTCCCCCACTGCTGAAGCTCTCCTGTGCTCCAACACAACTGAACGAAGCCATGGCCTTTGCTGCAGATGTGTTTCTGGCTGTAGGGAACTTCTTTGTGATCATGATTTCCTATGGCTGTATTGTGGCCAGCATCCTGAGGATTCGCTCTGCTGAGGGCAAGCGACGTGCCTTTTCCACCTGTTCTGCCCACCTCATCGTGGTGAGTATGTACTACTCCACTGTCATCTACACGTACATCCGCCCTTCCTCCAGCTACTCACTGAACAAGGACAAGGTGGTGTCTGTCATCTACACCTCTGTGGCACCCACCTTGAACCCCCTCATCTACACTCTGAGGAACAAGGACGTCAAAGTTGCCCTTAGGAGACTTCTGTCCTGCTGTTGAGCCTATGCTGGCCCTGCTGCCTTCCTCTGTGCTGCACTGGGGGGAATCTCAGGTTTGGTAAAGGTCCCTTTTCCTTTTCCTGAAGAAATAACCTGCCAAGACATAAGGGACAAACTTCAAGTGTTGTGCTTAACAGAGGAGAAGACCTGGGATTTCCATGTGGTACTTTTAGGACCATATGCTATCCATGAACCAGTTGCTCTGGGTAGACAGTGCTTTGTGTATCTGTTCTATTTTAACCCCAAAAGGCTATTCAGCCTTGGCTGTGGCTGGTGTGTAAGTAGGGGACCTGAGAATGTAAAGGGGCTTGGAGGTTCTAGGACATTCATTTTCGTCATGTAAGTTAATTCTCTAAAAACATTGTTTCTACTTTTTAGTACCTTTGACAGAGACTTGAGGGGGGGACAGGCTTTTACTATGCTGTGGGTACGCTGTGGCATTGTGTAATGAGATGATGCCTTACTATGCCTTCCATCCTGTCTGATGTGAACCACCAATGCTAGTCAGCCGCTTCCCTACCAAAGCTGGCTCTCACCCTGAGGGTGTCAGCAGCACACAGTGCTGGCAGCAGGAGGTTTCTTGAACCCAGAGCCTCATCCTTTCCATTTCCACTGTTGAGAGATATAACAGGGCTAGTAAATGCTTTGGGGTCTGTTGGTTTGGAGGCTGTAGGTAGAAAGGGAACTAGGAAAGGGAACTAGAAATAGCTGTTGTCCATCAGGGCCTGCTGACTTCTTGGAATAAATCCAGAGATCTTTGATGTCTGACCCAAATCCTTACTTCTAGCCTGGGCTGTTCCCATGGTCATTGACTAACTCTGGTGACCTTTTGACCTCTCTGTTTCCTCCTGGTTGACCTGATGTTCCTGCCAATGGTTGGTTTCTATTTCTCCTTTTAATACTGGTTCAATTAATTAGCTAATTTTTGTATTTTTTTGAAAATTTATTTAAAAGTTCATATATGTGTATAGTATTTTTTATCATTTCCCCTCATCTTCTCAACCCTTTCTATGCCTTCCTACTTCCTTTCAACTTCATGGCCGCTTTTTCTTTGTTATTATCATTATCACACATATATAAATAAACACATAAGTAAAACCTTTTGAGCATTCATGTTTCTGATATTTATATGTGTTTAGAGCTTACCAATTGGTGGTACTAGATAACCAATTATGGGTCTAGTCCATTGGGAAGACTGATTCTTGCTCCAAGCAGTCATTGATTGCCAATAACTCCACAGATCTCCACTACCGTTGTTAGCATGCCTACCGGCCCAGTCATTGTTCAGATCTTGTTTAAGTAATCATAGTCTTGAGGTTCGGTAAATACAGTTTCCCAATATAGATGACACAACGTTGCAGCAGATATCTTGATCCTCTGGGACATAATTCTTCCACTTTCTCTTCTTTGATGTTCTTCTAGACTGAGGTGTGTGGTTGTATAATAAATATATCCATTAGGACTGAGCACTTATAGACAGTTGTAGCTTTCTGAATTGGTCTCTGTCTGCTGTAAGAAGAAACTTTGATGAGGGATGGGAGCCACACCTATCTGTGGGTATAGGGATAAGTATGAAGGATACAGTTAGAGGTTACCCTGGTTTGGGAAAGCAGTAATAGGGTCTACTCTAGTGTATCTGACCTGTCCAGCCACAGGCAGTTGTCCGGGTTTATAGTACCAGGCATGAATTGTGCCATACTGAGTGGATCTTAAGTCCAATTAGACAGCTGTTGGTTCCTGCCAATGTAAGTGCTTCTGTTTTACCTTCAGGGAAAACTTGTCATGCTGCCCAATGCTGTGATTTGTAGGTCCCACACTGAGAAAGATACTGATTGATTTTCTTCCTTGGCAACCTATATCTCAACTTCTGGTACTATGAAAGTTCATCCTCAAGGAGGAGGCTTATAGGTGAAATGTAATTGGACCCCTCTAAATTCTGTGTCTGAAGTGTATGATGTCTTCAGCAATAAGGACTTACCCTTAAATTCTAGGAAACCACCCAGGACATCAATAATACCTTGTAGTTGTTTTGGGAGATGCTTGGACTATTCTGCCAATAACCCAAAAGGAGTTTTCTCATGCACGGTAGTATATTTTTTTGTTACATGGTCATTTGTTTTGGGAGGACATTACCATCCCAAGTGGTATAATTTCATTTCAACTATATATAAGATATATGGTTTCAAACTTCCAAAGTGCTATTTATCCTTCCTTGCTGCCTTTCACTCTATAATACTATCTGTCCCCGCAGCCCAATTTAAGACTACCCCAATTTTGTTTATTCCCTCATGAAGACTATGGACTTTTATTAGCAAGACAGTGTCTTGTTCTTCTTATTTCTGCTCTTGGCACAGGGTAGGCAACCAGCAAACATCAAGGGACTGCCGAAACAAGCAACGAACATAGATATTATTTTCATCATTATTATTTTAATTATTATTAAAATTTAATTATTCATAATTATTATTAGATCATTACACATAAATTTGGAAGAGCCAGTCAGATAATTGATAATGCAGATTTGTATGTTACTTTTAAAAGTTTATGTACTTTCAGGGCAAGGGGACCAGACACCAATGAAATGGATGGCCCAGGTGATCCATCATCCAAAACAGCATTAAGTCTACTGATTGAGATGATAAAACCTCACAGAATACTCCAGCCAGGACCTCACAAGTATCCTGTTTTTCTCAAGGTTCCCTCAAAGATTACCAGTACCCCCAATTAACAGGAAGTAGTCTTGAAAACTATTCCCACAGTCCCCTCAAAATAGGTTATGGATATTTTTTATTATTTAAGGGGTTTTAGTACAAGATGTTATTGGTAATGTCAGGAAAAAAGCTAAACAAAGGAGATTGAAATCCAAGGATCTCTTTCTCAAAAGAAAATGGGGGGATACAGAAATAATAGGATAAAAATGTAGACTATTGAATTTACTTTTAAGTCAAAAAAGCAACTACTAGTCTTAAATATTTTACATTGACATGAATTTTTGAATATTTATACAAGTGTAAAGTTAATTTTGTTATCCTGTATGTGTGTTTCTACTCTTATTTGGGGGTGTTGTGCTTATATAGCTCATTTAAAAATGTAATGCATAATTAAGAAGTACAGATTAATAGTCATCCATAATAGTCAAACTTATAGTCATGTTAAGTTTGTATTCAAGGTTATATAAAGATATATTTAGATAAATAGTCTTCAAACACTTCAAAGGCCTACAGAATATGGCATGTAATATGCTTAATAACTTAAGGGTTTTCTCGACAGTGAGATATGTCTGCTCCTGACAACACCAATCTACTTCACAGAAGATGATGGTCATCAAAGCAAATCAATATGGAGCTTACTTTCTTTGAGGCAAAAGGTAGCTACTGGACAAGACCTGCCATTGCCTTGACTGCTGACAGTATGGCAGCTGAGTTACAAAAGAATACAAAAGAAAGAGACTGACACACTTTGCTGAGACAAAGTAGGACAATCCTTCAAAATCCCCTGCTTCACAGAAAAAATCTGTCAGATATGTTGGTTCTGCAGGCAAGAGTTGGATGCACCATCACTACAGAGGAACTTTGGGTCACTGTCCAGACAGCCTGATGTCCCTATTGTTAGTTAAATTTTCATACTTCTGTGGTCTTTGGTGGGGAGTTATAGTTTTCCTTAGTTAAGTTAGAAGGTAGATTAGATACAAAGCTTTTGAGTCACAAAGATAAGATAAAGAAATAAATATTTTCTCTAATTTTGTCAAATACAAATAGACTGGATATTGTAACTGTAATTCTTAATAACTTTTGTTATTATATAGTTTTATATAGTTTTACTATGCTAAAAAACTTCCTTTTTAATTAGACAAAAAGGTAGAAATGCTATGGAGTAATCCTTCTTTACACTATGAATATGTATTACTCTCATTGGTTAATAAAAAGCTGACAGGACAGTAGCCAGACAGGAATTATAGGTAAGACAGTCAGACACAGAGGAATCCTGGAAGAAGAAGAGAGGAGTCAGAGCAAATGCCAGCCAGTCACCAAGGAAACAGAATATGTAGAAAATTAGATAACAGGCCGTGAGCCACATGGCAAAGCATAGACAAAAAATATGGGTTTAATTTAAATGTTAATAATAAAATGTTAAATGTAAGAGTTAGGTAATAAAAAACCTGGGCTATCAGCAGGGTACTTATTAGTAATCATAAGTCTCTGTGTTAGTTACTTGGGAACAGGCAGTTGGGACAGGAAAATGCCACCTACATAGAAGTCTGTATGAGTGTGGTTCTTAAAATTTTAGGACTAGAAAGATGCTCTGTGTTAAGGTGAGTGTCCATGCCAAGTATTAGGGCACAGCTCAGGGTTCTTACACGCTGGAAGCAAAGTCCCCAAAAACACTCGCTTTAACTCAGCCAGCTAGACACTAACACAAATCAAGCACGTTCACCTTCCTCCCAGGCTCACAGGTTTCTTTGGTTAGAAATGCTATGTTCCCAGCCACCAGGGAAGGAAGCAAAAGTGTTTAGAAAATGTAACAGCACTGTTGCATTTTCTACAATTATTACTCACAAACTTCTATCTTAACGAGTGGCACTTAAGAAATATAGTCAGTTCACAAAAACTTCTTAGAATTTTGTATTGATTTAAAGTCCCATTCTTAATTAATCCTCCCAGTGTCTGCTGGGGAGCTTCACAGTCATGCCCCTTCTGAGACAAAAGGTGCCTTCTTTACCTGTTTCTGTGATTCTGTAAAATGCATGCTTGGAATTGTTAAATGTCTGTGGGTACAGAAAGTGGAAACCATGTTGGATGGGTGGAAAATAACGAGAAAGAATAGCAAGAGAACAGCGAAAGAACAGAAAAGAGGATCAGCAAATTAGGGCGAGCATAGGAAGAATAAATGAGACATGATAAAAGACATAAACCTCTATAAAACATAAATAAAATTGTCTTGGAGAGTCAGGCGTGACCAGACCCTACAGATAGTCCAAATCACCAGACAATAACTACATCCATTCCCAGCTTTCAGGGTGGAAAGCAAGTACCCATCTCCCTCACTGAGGAGACTACTCTGTGTGTGTGACATTCCTGGTTGTCCTAGTGCTTACCTGTGAGCACAAGGACCTCGGGCCATCTACAGCAAGCAAACAGCAAATCAGCAAAAAAGAACAGTGGTGAGGAGAAGAGGACTTGCCTTTCTGCTTCAGTTCTGTGAACATCAGTGAAGCAGGGCCTTGGTTTAGCTCTGTTTATACTCTGAGAAAGTGTCTACAGACGCCTTTGCAGACCAATGTGTCAACAAATTGATATGAAGTTAGATTTATCAGCTCTGTGTCTAGCAGGTCATTTTGTCAGTCATTTTTTTGTCATTATACCATGTGGGAAGATTAGAACGCCTAACATTAGGGTGAAGATTGATTTCCCCTTACATTCACACAGCTTCTGGATATCACTTTATGTTTTGGAACCCATGTTCACCCTCAGAAGAGCAATTACCTACCTACCAACTTCAAGGAGAAGGTTTTATATGAGACTCAAATGGAATAGCACAGCCTGTAGTGTTTTGTGAGCCATCAAGCTCTGAAAGATAGTCTGTCTTTTCCATCCATCCTTCCTTCTTTTTTTCCTTCCTTCCTTCCTTCCTTCCTTCCTTCCTTCCTTCCTTCCTTCCTTCCTTCCTTCCTTCCTTCGTTCAATGCTGGAACCCAGGCTTACACCTGTACAGGTCCTGTGCATGCTACCGTGTCTCTATGAATTCATATGTGTTCCAGTCCTGTTGTGTCTAGAAGGCACTGTTTTATTGATCTCTTCCATCCCCATTTGCTCTTATACTCTTTCCCCGTCTCCTTCCACATCGTTTCTTGAGTCCTAGGGGGAAGGATTTGGTGGAAATGT